TTTTCTGGACGACTAGGAGTTTGGCGTCTGTGACTGCTGTCGCTGGTTAGGGCGATAAACGTGAAGGACTTTTTAAGCGCGTGTGAGGGGCAGTTTTGTTTTCATCTCGAGGGGGGCACATTAATGACCGCGAGAGCAGCACTTTTGTGGCCTGGGAAAATCGGGGGAGGTAAGTGCCCCCCTGCCCCCCCCCCTCCACCCCCGGTTCCGCCGCCCCTGCATAGACATTTTATATGGCAGCAAGGAGCAAGGGCCAATATTTCTCAGGCCAATCTAGACTTTTGGCAGTTTTCTCGAATGGCAGACAACGTGTCTCAACATTTTGTTTGTGAAATTTTGGAACCAACCTGATATTTTTATATTTCAAAATTGGAGGGAGTTCTCTCCAGCATGTCGATGCTCTTCTTGGTACTATGTTTCCTGTTTTAATTTTAACTCGAGTTCGAGTTCAAGCCTTCGAAGTTCGAAGTTTTTTTTTCTTTCCTTTTTTCTTCGCTTCGAAAGCCTCTCTCTCCCCTTTTCTGTTTGTTTTCTTTCTTTTTCTTTTTTTCTTCCCTCTCTGTCCTTTTCCCTTTATCTTTCTCTTTCCTCTCTTTTCTTTTCTGACAGTCTCTCTCTCTCTCTTCTTGTTCTTTGTCTTCTCTTTCAAACTGAAGCCGTTGAAATCTTTGCGCATTCATTTTCACGACCCACTTGCTAAGGCTCATCTGCCTTAAGATTCATCTTGTCCGCAGGAGCTTTGATTAGTTTTGCCTTTTCTAAAAGCACTTCGAGAAATGTTTAGACCAACATGTTGTTTAACTTCAGCTAAGTCATTTTTGGCAACTTTTGCAGTTGATCGACAGACAAATTTTCATCATCAACGAAAGCTTGTACCTCCAACTTGCCAGCTATAGTTATTTATTTACTCTACGATGCACAATTAAATCGCGAAACCTTGTTTGAAATACGATATTGAAATATCAAACAAATTTTAGCATGTCTTGTTTGATTTGCAGGACCAGCCCAACTTTGTTGCGATCTAAACATCCCCAAAACATTATTGAATTTAGATCACCCCAAAAGCTTGAATATTCTCAGATGTAACATAGAAATTAAACAAGATTGACACAGATAATGTACCAGAATAAAGTAAACAAGATGGTGATCAAGCAGAAGCCTTGATACTCCTGAACGGCATTCAACACTTAGGAACACTGGATACACGTTGGTGGACGAGGTATCACTTCACTGAAATAGTATTAGTTCTTAAGACAGGTACTGGAACACGAAGCTCCGTAGAATACGGGTATCTGAATACCACGAAAAATGACTGGAGTAAAACCACCAGAAGAGTATGGTGGCTCTTCCGTAAAATACGAGAATAAGGTTAGGGTTAGAGTTAGGGTTTAATGGATAGATTTGGGGCTTGGGTTAGAGACAGCTTTATATTTTGGTTTGGATGAAGTTCAGGGTTAAAATGTAATGGATATAGAGAGGATTCAGTTTTCGGGCTAGGATTTCATGGATAGGGTTAATGCAAATTATAACCCTTAACTCACCCTAACTCTATCCATTAAAACCCTAACATCAACCCAAACCGTACTAATGTAATCCTTACCCAACGCTAACCCAAACACTTTGTATGTTACCCTCAAAATTATTCAAGCACTATCCATTAAATACAATTTGAAGGTTTGCATAATAAAAATATCAATAAGATCTAGGCAGAGCATACTGTCCCAAACGTTGAGTTTTCCGGTTCTTTTAGAGCCTCACAAACTCACAAGAAATTGACCTCATGTCTTTAATTAAATCAAAAAGACACCCTCATTTCATGTTTCCACACCACAGTTTAACAACCCCGTATCATACTAAATGACCTTCGATTTATCCAACCAAATGTGTAATGTAACTTTGTAGGATACTGTGACCAACTCTCTCAATGTAAGTCTGTCCGAATTTACATTTCTCGCCGATTGAGAATTGAAAATAAAACAATTACGAGCCACCTGCAATGCATAAAACTGTGTGTCGATCAGAAGACGAGTAACTGTCTTCACTTCTCATCATAAGTTGTGCGCAATTGAGCTTAGCATCTGGTTTATATGGGCTAATAAGGGGATCATCTGAGTAAGAAAGCAAACACAATAAACTAATACGGATACCATTTGTGAACCCATAGAGTATATAGGAAATACGTAAATACACTGCAATAATAATTAATCTTCAAGTTCTGAAAACTGGCGATAGGACCATTTGCACATATATTTTTTTAATCCGATGACAATATCACTCGATAAACGTAATACATTATACTGGGACATAATTTTGTATCTGTCTGCCTACTCTTTGTCAAATAAAAGCACAACAAAGACAGACGTTTCTAAATTTGTCATTGTAATAAGAAGACGTTATTGTCCGCCACGGATTGATTATCAGTTGTTCATCATTTGACAATGATGTTCAATTTGTATCTGGATGATTGCAAATGATCTCATGCCATTAAGTCTAACTAATTCTTTTTAAAACCACAGCTCAACAACCCCGTATCATACCAAATGACAATCGATTTATCAAAACAAATGTGTAATGTAACTCTGTAGGATACTGTGACCAACTCTCTCAATGTACCCTACTCTCTCAATGTAAGTCTGTCAGAATTTACATTTCTAGCCGATTAGGAATTGAAAATGACAAATTTTACGAGCCACCTGCAATGCATTGCTTTGTTTGACTAAAACTAAAATTGTGTGTCGATCAGAAGACAGTAATTTTCTTCGGGTCTGATCATAAACTGTGTGCAGTTGAGCTTGGCATGACATTGTGGTATGGGGTAAATGAGGGGAAATCTGAGTAAGATAGCAAAAACACTAAAATATAATAAAATACGGATAACATGCGTGAATACATAACGTATATGAAATACGTAACTACACCGCAATAATGATTAAACTGATTAACAGTCCTTAAGTTGTTAAAACTGACTATAGGACCATTTGCAAATCATTTTTTTTTATTCCGATGACAATATCACTCGAAAAACGTAATACAGTAAACGAGAACATATTTTGTATTTGTCTGTTTAGTCTTTGTCAAATAAAAGCAAAACAACCTTGCAAAACAAAGCTAGACGTTTCTCAAGTTGTTATTGTGATAAGAAGACATTGTTGTCCACAAAGGATTGATTACCATTCGTTTATCATTTGACAATTATATTCAATTTGTATCTGGATGATTGCAAATGATCCTATGCCTTTAAGCAAAACAAAAAAATACACCCACATTTTAGGTTTACAAACCACAGCTCAACAATCCCATATCATACTAAATGACCATTGCTTTGACAAAACAATGCATACTTTTTGTTTGACTAAAACTGAAACTGTGCGTCGATCATATGACAAGTAATTGTGTGATCGTCATCTGTGATCATAAATTGTGTTCAGTTGAAATTGGCATGTGGTTCATACGGGGTAAAATGAGGGCAAAATCTGAGTAACATAGCAAAAACACTAAAACAAAATACGGATAACATGCGTGAACACACTGGTAAACAGGAAATACGTAAAGTTTGATCTCTATATACGGCTGAGGCAAGGGCAGATCCAGAGCACAATTTTTTTTTGGGGGGGGGCAAAAAAATGTGGTCCCAGAAAAGTGGGTCAAACAAATTACGGCGTGGGCTTTGGGGCCTTTCCGGAAGAAAAAAATGGATTTTAGATGCTCTGTGGTGCGATCTGAGGCAATTTCTGACTACTTTAACCAATGTTCTTTGAGGAAAAGATGGTGATGTACTCATTGTCTGCCTTTATTGCGACGTCACATAAAAAACAAAAATTGGTTGTTTTTTTTTTGGGGGGGGCATTTCCCCTTTGCCCCCCCCCCCCCGATCCGCCCTTGGGGTGAGGTTAAGTGCTCTTCTGTGGTTTTCCTCCCACCTCTAAAACTGTACTGTTTTATTATCAATGTCTTCTCTCTACAGGTTTCTTCAGGATTGAAGCTTCAGTGCCTAGGGCAAGTTTGAGTAATCCTTGATGACATTACGAGAAAAAAATTATAACAATGATACTACACAATGTTTATCCCTCTATCCATAATGATAGAAAACACTCAGGAAAAGAACATTATTAAATTTATCAGAATGATTTTATAAGCAACAGACGCATGATACTTGAATTAATGCGATTGTAATGGACATATTTTTTACCAAACACCGCCGTCGAGGAACAGTCCTTCGTGGCTAATACGATCCACGATTCCCTCAAAAGAGCAATCGATTATAGGCAGATTTTCTAAAACCATATCGAGATATTCTATTCATAAGAGCTTACACAAAATGTTCATGTGAGCTCATACAAAAAAGCGAGGAGAACTACCTTTGTACAATAATACAAGGTATGAGCTCAGATAAAATACGTGCAATTTGTTAAACTACCTCCCTATAATATGAGCGTGGTGAAATTCTGCTACACAAATGCCTCAATCCATATAATTATGATCTGGCGAATACTATCAGATAACAGAACATTATCAAGTTATCTGCTGTTTGAATATAATAATGACAATAATTAGCAATTGGGAAATCAAAGTATAAAACATGATTTCAGATCACCCCGCCTGACTCACGGTATCAACAATGCCTGGCCAGGTTGAGGTCGTAAATCAATCAAGTTTTTTTTTTCGTCAACACACTGTTCTATAAATGTCTACTTAGTTTAATAATGAAACAAACTACACCACCATTAGTAACGATTAATATTAAATAATGTTAATTAATTTTACGCACGCATAGCACTAAAAATATCTTGGAAATCCCATCCACCGATATTTACTTTTAACGTAACTTTCATTAACGTTGAAACAAATTAACATTTGTTGATTACAACTTGTTTTTCTGGGTAACATTAGCAGAGGTAACAATTTGAAAGCTAATATGCTGGTAAAAAGCATCCTGATTTAAACCATCAGCTAAATATGCGAACTAAGTCTAAAGAACATAATGTCAGAGTTTGTTTTTATATGAAACGTTTCTTGAAATGTTTAACGCAAAGTCATGAAATAATTCCTTGCATTAATTTTAATCTTCCAGTTTAAAATACCTGGTATCTAGTATCGAAGGAATACAAGTAACACTAATGTAGGAAATGTGTTCCATTCGGGTTTACCAAAACGCTGTTAACGTGCAGTGAACGGATGGGGCGTCTAGTTGACCATGGGATTGCGCACCACACGACCTGCTGGGTTGACCTGATGAAATAAAAAGGACCGCTAGTTAACAAAGATTTTGCTATCCATAGACAGTTAACACAGAACCACTCAGAACGTTTGTGTAACCTTTACGCCCAGACTAATGGTTTCCGGTGTCTTTAAGTGACGGTAACTGCATTGCCTTCATGATAAATTAAATAAAATTGATCTGAATTTGAATCTGAAATAGTTCCCGGCTTTGTATGAATATGTGGAACAAGTGCTGAAACAAAATTTGAATGACCCTCACATGAATTTAAGGTTTTTTCTAAAGTTATGGGGATCTTTCGGGAAGTAACCATTAAATGAATACAGATCGGGAAAATGACTTCACATATAATGTTCACATTCAATCAATCCTTCCATCAAATATTTGATGAATATTTCCCAACACATACACGTAGAAAACATTGGAATTATTTTTTATAATGGATGGATGGAGGTCTCAAAAAAGCATGATCTTGTCGAGTGGAGACCCCAATGTATGGTTACCATTACAGGTGCATCGAAATACGTTAAATAAACAACAAACAAATTTAATTCTAATTTTGGATCTTCTCGTACTACAGACTCGAGACCATAATGTAATGTCTATAGGAACGTAATGTACATGTACTGTGCCGAATGATATACAAATATCAGCCTGAACATATTTTTCAAGTCGTAAGACATTACGGAAACCAAGAAAGTGATAACAAAACAAATACACAGAACCGCGCTGGCTCTCTTGTGGATGAAATACCACTGTCTATTGATTTGCTACGAAGTCTGTTGAGACGTCGACCTGAATCGAAGTTCGTTTCCATTATTGGGTCTATATCTGAACTAACTTTCAAATTAATTCGTCAGCTTGAAACTAGGTACAATGTACTCACGGAATCATCCTCACGATACGGCCCTTCAATTCCACTAGCCATGTAGGGTAGGACAAACTCCTCTCGAGCAGACAAGTTCTTCACAGAAAGAGAGTGGGAAAAGTAAAGTCAGCACCTATTAGGCCAAACAAAATTACACTGCAAGATTAACAGTAACTATGTTAAGACATATTCCTCACCTCTTGCAAGTAGCGAGACCGGCCCATCACGTGCATCAAACGCCTCATCCTAACCGCCTCATCATCGAAGTCTGCCATGCAGGAGACATCAACAGACTCCGTGCTCCGATCACCGTAGTTATCGAAAATACTCCTGCTTTCTCTTCGCACACCAGACCGCTGTCTGTCCTCACGATAAGCCAGCGACTTGGCGTGTTGCCTCTGAATGAGGAGACACATGCAGACCAGCATGCACACCACAACGATAAGCAGCACAATGCAACCAACAATGATGAGTACAACAGTGACGGTTGATAGACTGCCACCATCAGGCTCTAAATTGGACACCGATTACAAAACAGTTGGAGGTTAGTATGCTGTGAATACCAGCGAAACTGTATTCTGGCATAAGAAATGACAAAGATCCGACCAACACTTTAAAGACTAACTGCGTACAAAAATATGCCTTCTTCATCAGATGGAATGAAATAGAAATGCTTCGGCATTACAGTCGTTGCATTTGATCATAAATCATTTGAGGTTAATTAATCAGTCCCAGTTTTAAGACTCTTTAATTAGATGCAGAATAAACAATGTTTACTCTTTTTTACAATAAAAAAACAATTATATTTTGCAAGTTTTGCAACACAAAGTTAGTCTGTTCAATTGATGCAAATCTAAGTGCGAAGCCGTTCGGCGAACGTAACAATGAAGCTACACTAATTATTGACGTCAAGAAAATCGCTTTGTGCGTTCGGTGAAAGTATAAACCGACTCCAAATTTGCAAACATTTTTCTGCAGTAGATTATATCTGCATTGTTTTTACAAGCTTACCTTGGACATCCGTCTCACAACGTTCCCCTGTATATGAAGCTTGACAGCTAAAAGGGGAAAAAAAGGATAATGATTCCTACCGATTGCATTATGTTTGAAAAGGAATCGTCCCACCAATGTGCTCTATATTTTGTTGAATACCCATCATTCTTATAATTTTCTCAAGTTTAATACTCATCGAGGGGATTTATGAACTTCTTTGGGTTTGCCCTAATGAAAACCACGTACAAAGTTGGGTAACTCTTGTACACATTCTGCTGGGTAGTCACCACAACCGTGAGTTAATATACACATTTGTATTGGTGGATATATTACAACTGAAGTTGCATGTAGTTTTGGTAATTGACCTCATGCATTAAGGCGGATTTATATGGAGGCCAATAGTTTTGTATCGTATAGAGAGGCATGAGTAAACCTTTCTTTGTATCCATTGTTAATGAATTAAAACAAAGAACAGCTTCTGACGCGCCCAAGGTCCATGGAATATGGTTTTACCTGCACGTATACGAAACTTGAGGGAAGTTTCCAGACACCTCACAAGTCCCACCATTTTTGCAGTAGGTCGGTACACAGTCTACTTCCCCATCTGTCATGACAAAAGTCATTAAACTGAAAGTGGATGTAATGTAAAAGAATAAATGTCGGTTCCATGACTAAGGTTGTAAGAATATCGGGACACAAAAAAAAACCCAAATAACACAACAGCATATCTTGGATATAGCGGACGCAATTAGAGGGCGCCATTTGTATTCAGCAAAACCTTTGGTGTTTACCCTTTTGTATTTACCTTTGTCTTACTTCTTGGAACTTGATGCAGTAATATTTCAGGGAAAAGGACATTCGTCCACAGTCCTTTACCTAACCATAATGGGCCAAAACCCTACCTGTTTAAAATTGGTGTACAGTTGCATTACCATTTACAGTGACTGAATCACGGTCGAAGTTGATTACATTGACGCCGTCGCTCAGTGATGGACTGCTTGACATGACTTCCTGCAGGCTGGCGTCTGAGGGCGCATCATTTTCAAATGAAGCCACAGACCTTACGACAACGCTCCCTTCCTCCATCGACGGGACTTGAACTGATAATACACCGTTGGTGGATGGGTTCTCCTTCAGTCTCATGAAAATCTGAAGTTAATTTACCAGTAAGGGAATGCCCTCTAAATTGAATTGCACATCTAATGGTCAGTTTCTGCCTCAAAAGATGTGTAAAGTTCAAACTAATGGACGTCATTTCCGACAATGATCCGGCATACTTCAAGATCATTGTCGGAGGAATTGTTAAGACTACCTTCAATGCCGTTATTCATTTCGTTAACAACTGAGAATAAAGTCACGATTCCAATCATTTATAGTTGTATTATTATTTTATAATTCACAGTATTAGCCCTGTGCTCAGGTGAAGACTTTGCGATCTTGCCGCAAATAGAAAGATATTCCAGGTTACTATTTAACAATGGGGTCTAATCGAGAGAAAGAACAATGTAAAACAGCACAATTATAATTTCTCCTAATCGACCAGTATAATTACCGCCCGTTCAAATACAGCAGCTAGTCTCCGGAAAGCAGTTGATGTCGGGTTTTTGTAGGCCTGATTGAAATCCAAATCAGCTGTCACCACAATCTGTTTAGATGGAAGTTCTGTTAAAAAAAGGGGTGATATCACTGGATTAATATTTAAAAAAAATGTAGTTTGCTAATAGAAATATTCACAGCAAAATATGTTACAAAAAAACATTACCACAAGCTCCCACAAAAAGGGAATATTAGAGGTATGTAGGATCATTTGCATTTTTGTGAATTTGTTTCCTGTTTGAAACTACAAAATTGTTCAAACTCTTAAGAAGAGTGCATAATAGCTAACTAGTTGAAGTTTCTGCTGGATACAATCCATTAGAAAAAACAGAAAACGTACGCATTGGTTTAGAAGTATCATAGCTGTTTTCCGTTGCTTACGCACTTATAAACATTGAATTCACGCACACTTTCTCAATCCACCTTCTGTAATTATTTGTTTTTCTTCCGAATGATGCATTTGAAGCGGAATGATGTCACATGGTAATTTGTACCAGTCTTATCCTCACTCTGAGAACGGATTTTCTCGTTAAATTAGTAGGTTCGTCCCAGGATTTTTTATTAATTCCTATTTATCAAAATTTGATGAGCAGGTTGTGAAAGGAGGTAAGGTGAATGAAGATCCTTAAACTGCTTGTGGAATAAAGTGAACACATTTCTACTTACTTCTACACGAACTATCGTTTTGCAAGAAAAACCCATCGAAAACATTGCAAATGCAAGTGAAGCCATCTTGGTCTGTGTCTGGCAAACAGTAGTGTTGAGCATCAGAGCATCTATTACCAGACAGACACGGATTCTCATCTGCAAACAAAGGTATTTTTAGGTGATGTGATCTCCGATCGTAGACATGTGATCGATCTTTAATGGCATTCATGACATAGAGGTTGAAAATGAGAAGATTTTCAGTGTAATATGTCGAATGACACATACTGAGGAGTTTTTGGAACAGTTTTTGGAACATTCACGTAGACCACCGAATGTGCATGGTCATTATATTGGTGTGTAGATAACTGATAGTTTCAGCAGTTACGACAAGGTATTGATACTTTTCAGATGCTGTGTCCATGGGCGTCGCGGAGGGGCGCTTGCCCCCCCCCCCCCCCCCGGAAAAGCCAAAAAAAAAAAAAAAAAAAAGGAAAGAAAAAGAGGCGCAAAGTCATGGTGGTGTAAATTTAATGGGTTGGGGGGGGCAAAATGTCCATGCCCCCTCTAAAACTGATAAATCGAGAATATGTCGAGAAATACAAGATTTTTGGGGGAAAATATATATTTTGCCCCCTCTAGAGAAAATCCTGGCGACGCCCATGGCTTTGCCCCAAACCTGGCGATAACGAAGACAAGAATAGTCCGTCGCAATATTTGGTAACATTCATGAATTACTGGCATCAACTTGCAAAACTGTTTGTACCCATCACATTATCCTAAGTTGGCATTTTGTTTATATTTCTACAAAACGAAAAGTTCATGTAATTCATATTACCAGAACATGTTGATCCTGAATGTGTAAGTAGACAGGCACACTCGCAAAACTCATCATCAAATGTCCCTTCATTCAGACAGCTTAAAACCTGGCAGTCTAAACAATCAAAAGATAAAATCATTTGTAGTTATTTGTATTACCCTAACTTAGGAAGTGTTTCACACACTGCACTCATTTGAACAATGAATAATGACCTATTGAAGTAAAAGTGTTCGTATTTCCACAACAGATTATTGCAACTAGACCTCTTTAGCCACATTTGTGGCTACAGACCTGTTAGCAGGCATGTGATTCTGACAAATAATTTATTACCATTGGATCTGACAACATTGGTGCCATCACAGGCAAATGACAAGAACTGACTATAATTGATGACGTGGAGCTTCTTGTTGAATTATCTGACAGATTCCAGGCCTATGCACTTTCCCCTGATGACTACCCACGTTTGAAAACCCGAATATGCTCTGTGCTATATATACTGGGTGAGTTCCAAGGAGGAGCGCAATATATTATCCAGCCAGAATTCTGCAAACAATGTGTTTGTGAGTTGTTGGGTGTAGGGGTCGTTGGATGTATTGGTTGGTGGGTCGTTTGGGTTGGGGGTCATTGGGTTGGTGGGTCGTTTGGGTTGGGGGTCGTTGGGTAGGTGGGTCAGTGGGTTGGTGGGTCGATTTGGTTGGGTGGGTCAGTTGGTTAGGGGGTCAATAGTTTGGTGATTCAGTAGGTCGGTGGATCAGTGGTTCAGTAGATCAGTAGTGCGGTTGGTCATCGGGTTTTCGGGTCAGTGAATTGGTGTGTTGGTGAGTCGGCGCGTCGGTGCATGCCGAGTTGGTCGTCGTACATTTTGTGTTGTTTTATTCACATTCGTGTGATGTTTAAAGTAAATGTACATCATTGGCTTTTGCTGTAATTTTCAGAAATGAGCTATTTGAGGGGTTAGTATAATAGCTAAAATGCTGTTTAACTGACATGTTGGACGTTTTGGGTTCGAAAATGCTTGAAAAACCAAGAAAAACAAAAATGTTTAAGTAGTCTGGTTCCTTGACTCCACTATCGATAAAATGGATCAATTTATAGATGTCGGAAAATTGTAAGGTAAGAGACCAGTCTAGCTGGCCTGCACCCGTTCATGAACATGTAACCAATAGCAAACAAAATTTGGACTAAGAAAATTGTAAAATTGGAGTAGTAGTTGAAAAATAGTTTTTCCGACGGTGGTCGGCCGACCACCGTTGGAAATGTATACAACAATATCATTTTTTTGAAAATGACTGGACACCAGGTGCCATAATTTTACAGGATGCTTTAAACTGTCATTTACCAACATTCTAGAAAAAGGTATTTCGTAAAAACTTGGTAGTTTTATTTTTCGACGTTTGCAAATATTGTATTTTTCCTTTAACCGGCGACACCTCTGTTCTACATTGCACTTACCCAGTCAACACTACTTACTGGGCCCTTAATGGGTCCAGCTAGCGCCGCTTCATGGCCCAGTTGGGACCAGCAGACTTTTGTCCGCCGGCGAAACTTGGGTCCCACATGTGTAAGCCCAGTAAATTTAATGTGGGTCCTATGTGGGTCCCATTTACACTTTAACCGGGTCATAAATGGGCAATATGTACGTATGAATGTGGGCCCTTAATGGGTCCCACTTGGGTTACCTCATGGGGCCCATGTCGGCTGCCCAGTTGAGGCCCACAGAGATTTGTCAGCCGGCGGTACTTGGGTCCCATATGGGCAAGCCCAGTCATTTAAATGTAGGTCATATTTGGGTCCCATTTACACTTTAACCGGGTCGTAAGTGGGCAATATGTAGGTATGAATGTGCGTTCTATGTTGGTCCTGTGTGGGTCCCTCCTACACTTTAACTGGGTCATAAGTGGGCAATTTGCACGTATGAATGTGGGACCTGTGTGGGTCCCTCCTATACTTAAACTGGTATGTGGTCAATATGTACGTATTAATGTGGGTCCTTTGTGGGCTGCTAAGCTGGCTCAAGTATGGGTCCCATCTAGGTCATGTGTAATGTTTACAAAGGCAAGCAGCAGGTGAAGCATGGGCTCATTATGGGCACTCCACAAGATGACATTGATTTAATACTTGGTAGTCTCAGTGAGCTCTCGTGCAGTTCGGTTTTGACTCTGATTCAGGTTATGGAGAATGGGAGAAGAAAAGCAAACACTAAACCAGTGAGAAACAATAATTGTATAAGTTCTCAAAATAAAAAATGTAATACTTATAGGAATCCATAGCAATAGGCCTAGCTAAATCTTTGAAGTAACCATGCAGTGGTGCTCACAATGACATACATACTACGCACAACTTAAAAATCTGAGACTTTTGGCAAGAATCTTTCGGTTTATTACATGTATATGGAAAGGGGTTTGGGTTTTCTGTTTATCATGCAGTCTTGGCAATGCATACTTCATTACATGACATGCATTGATCAGACATGTCAGAAGTGTTGACACCACTGTTGTTTTCTGACTAATGTTTCACCGGTTTTGCTGATCTTCACCTTGCATTAAGTGCCAAGGATTTGAATCATTCTGAGCACAACTTGGTTGTTATTTACTAAGACTTTACTGTTCCTAACAATAATTCCTGTGAGGGTATCAGTGTTGTAGGTCTCGAGACCGGTCTCGGTGTCGGTCTCGGTCTCGGTCTCGGTCTCGAGACCACTTTTTGCCGGTCTCGGTCTCGGTCTCGGTCTCGGTCACTTTAACTGGGTCATAAGTGGGCAATTTGCACGTATGAATGTGGGACCTGTGTGGGTCCCTCCTATACTTAAACTGGTATGAGGTCAATATGTACGTATTAATGTGGGTCCTTTGTGGGCTGCTAAGCTGGCTCAAGTATGGGTCCCATCTAGGTCATGTGTAATGTTTACAAAGGCAAGCAGCAGGTGAAGCATGGGCTCATTATGGGCACTCCACAAGATGACATTGATTTAATACTTGGTAGTCTCAGTGAGCTCTCGTGCAGTTCGGTTTTGACTCTGATTCAGGTTATGGAGAATGGGAAAAGAAAAGCAAACACTAAACCAGTGAGAAACAATAATTGTATAAGTTCTCAAAATAAAAAATGTACTTTAATAAATCGAATTTTCCAATGACAATAATCATAACAACAATTTATACAATTCTGGAATTTGTATTTCTGGGTCAAAGTATGTTTTTAACAAAACAAGGTTTCGTTACTCCAAGCTATGCAGATTTTATCATGTAATGACACGAAAGTCATAGAATATGGTCTCTTCTTTGGATATTTCTAGAATAATGATTCCACCAGCAGCAAAAAACGTCTTATTTCTCTGCATTTCAAACCTAGAAGACTTAAAATCAAAATTACGTCAATGTGTACAGACCGAGCTAGTAAACCATAATAGGCTAAAAAAAAACTACTACTTCACGCAATGTTCGAGGGAGATAAACATATTACAACATGGACAGTGCCCCCATTATCATGTGGTGAAAATCAAAAGTCTGACTACAAATATGCTTACATACAAAATATTACCGAAGTATTGCACAAGGGAAGGTGGCTCTAGCCCAAAGAACTGGGAAGTGGAATTACCATATAAGCACACATGGGCATTTGTGAGGAGACCTGAGACAAGGTACATTTTACCACATGCCGAGAGGCAGACCTGTTGATTTACGCGGGCTAATTTTTTAATGTACAACATTAGGCGCCTGTTTGGAATCAATCCATGACACCATGTAATTTGAGCCACCCGGGCCTCAAAAAAGTCGACCATTCACCCCAGATTAGCCACTGGTATCTCTCAGGCCCCAAACAGTCATTAAGACCAGAGACACAGGGGTGATCGAGGTAATCCCTATGTGCATAATGCATTTGTACACAAGCCTATGTAAATGTGCACAAGCACACTAGGTTTCCCGCCAATTTTCACCCCCTCCAGTAGGATCACAAGACTGACACCCCCTCTGGCGGATGTACCGTGGTCCATACTAGGATCTGGTGATAGATGACCTGGGCATGGCTACCACGTGGCTGGGACAATATAAAACAAAGAAATGTGGAAGCAATTTTATTCACACTGAATCCGACAATGTATTTGAAATTGTTGACTACATCTCCAAAGACCCACTCCACACTATTTACTTTACTCATGGATCTATTGTAGGCCTCTTGCTCCTCAGTAATGTTATCCCCCTCAAAGGGGCCTTGGAGATGAGCCCTTAGATGGTAAGCCGGGTCCCCGTAGACACACAAGGCGTTGCCCTGAGGGTCGAAGCTGCGCATCTCAAGTTTTGTCAGGAGGCCGGACTCTCGCAGCATGT